GAGAGAGAGAGAGAGAGAGAGAGAGAGAGAGAGAGAGAGAGAGAGAGAGAGAGAGAGGGGAATAACTTCTTTTATGAGAGACTCAACGTACAGGATAAGCGTGAGATTCTCTCAGTGTGCGTTATCCTGATACTGTTACTGTTACGATGTCGAACAAATATTTAGTATCATTTGGGAGCTGCAGATAATGTCGAACAGTCCCAGATGGCACACATAGTTCTATGAATATTCTTCTGGAGTGCAAATATTTTTAATTTCAGAATATTCCAATCGAATATTCTGAATAAATATATGTATATATACATATACAGGGTGTCCTGAAATTCGCGAATCAAAATACCATAGCAAGAATGTCGTCGAAAAAATAAATTAAAAAGTTATTTGCCATTTTTCGTTCCGAGCAGTAGTTTTTTTTTAGATAAAAAGGTTCAAAAAGGGCCAATCATACATTACGGTTGAACGGAAACCTGTCCGTGAGTCGCGCGTCGATAGTTTAGTGCACTAACACTATCAATGCACGACTCACGGACAGGTTTCCGTTCAACCGTAATGTATGATTGGCCTGTTTTGAACCTTTTTATCTAAAAAACTACTGCTCGGAACGAAAAATGGCAAATAACTTTTTAATTTATTTTTTCGACGACATTCTTGCTATGGTATTTTGATTCGCGAATTTCAGGACACCCTATATAGATTATTACAATTAGAAATCGTATATTCATGACAAGGAAGAACATTTTTAGAATATTTGTCGAGAATGTCTTTGGAATATTCGTTCAGAATAATTTTTCAATATTCATCGAGTCTACGTATTGCACATTGTTTATTGTGTAATACACTTATCTTACGCAAAAGACAGTGAAACCAGTGATTATACCGTATATAACCGACACGCTATATTCAATAGATTATTTTAATTCACATTCGAAAAAGATTTATAGCAGTGCCAGTCGAATGTTCCACGTACCTAAGATAAATATATAAGAAAGACCTATGGAATATTCCAAATATTTTTGAATAATATTCTTAAAATGTTGATAGGAGTGTCCCGTGCTATCTGGGGCATCTCTAAGTTACGAATAAGCAGCAACAAGGACAAAACCGATTTCTTTTTCTTTCCTTAATGTGCGGTACGAGTGAACCGCGCGTCAGGCCCCGGCCGCGCAGTCGGAGTATCAACGCGAAAAATCCATTAGCGATTACCTCTTCGGGGCACACCCGCGGCTAGCAATAACAGCATGTAATAAGAAGTCGAGGCCCGAGTTTATGAATCCATCTATCCTGAGCATCGTGTGATATTAGTCACGCGGGATAATTATACGAACTTAAGCCTGACCGCTCGCTCGCTCTCCCTCTCGTTCGCTCTCTCACGGGTATCTCCTTCGTGAAAAATAGAAATCGAGGAGCTGGCTAAGCACGGCGTGATGTTACCACCTGACATAATGGGCCTCACGGACGAGCAAGTTGAGGAGCTCAAGCTCAAGGACGAATGGGCTGACAAGTGCGTGCCCATGGGCGGTTGGACTTTCAACAGGGACAAGACCGGTACGTAACATTGTTCGTCGGCACCAGGTAATAATAGATTTCACTATATAAAAATCTTTCGGCATAATCGATAATAAAGCGTGAATATTTCGAAAATAAATGGAAGTGCTCGCGAAACTGAGGGAGCAGAGTACGATGTACCCGTTCGGTTACGTTTGTTAGTACATCACTTCATAATTTATAATATTAATTTATCTATTTTATTTGTGCACACTATTCTACTACAATTATCTAGTATTTTTTATTTTGCAATATTCGTGATTTTTATTAATTATATTTGCTCGGTTTATCTGCTTTTCTATGTCCAACAATTTCAATACAATTTCTGAAATAACTAAAGCTACCTTGACGTTCTAGTATTTTGTAAAAAGAAAAATCTCTCTATCGCACAAAGGATGCATAAAGTATTTGTTAGTAAACTTCTTACTTCAGTTTAAAAAATATTTACGAAATGATAAAAAATTTTGCTAAAAAAGCGCAATAAATTAGTGTATTTGAGATTGTATATATTACATCACGTGGTAGATTAAGACTGAGTTTAGATAAAAATACAGGTCGTAGGAACGGTAGGCAGCCCAACGAAAAGATGCAGGAGGTGCTGCAGAAAACTATCGAGGATGCACGTGCCATGACGTCAAAAGTAAATCCAATTTAATTTCATACATTTTGCACCTTCTAACTTGCCAGTCAACAAGTTCTCATTATTGTTTCGTGCAAGCGCAGAAGTTAGTGCAACAAGAGAAATTGGTTACGCAAAAGACAGTCCAAGAAGCTCTGGATTTGTTAAGAGGCGCCGCGACGATCGTTTATCCTATGGGGCTTCCGCCACACGACGTGATACGTAAAGAGTTTGAGAATACCGAAGATCTCACCGGTACTCAGGCATCCCTCGAGGTACATGTTGCTTTCTGAAAATTGATGAACAATATCGCAATACAAAACAGCGCAAACGATTCGAAAACTGGCATTTAAAAAACGTTCTAATTGTTCGAGCATTTGTTTAGATAAAATGCCTGTTATATAATGTATATACAATTTAATCGATCGTTTTTTAGACATTTTATAGACGTTTACAAAAATTCCAGTTTTCTGGAAAGCGTTCTAGCTTATATGTCGCTTGCGAAGTAATTAAGGGGATCCTAAAGCCGCTGGCGAACTCGATTAGGTCGATAAGGTAGGAGACGGAATTAAAAACGTCAATTATCGACATATGTATAAAGTCAACCAGCACAGTCCAGATTTTGCTGCGCACTTTAATTCCGGAAAAGAGTTTTTTATTTCTATAAAGCCAATTAAGGTGATGCTGGAGTGATTCTGCACTTTTGCCACTTTTTGCTCCTAGAACTGTCAATTCGTGACAACATTTGTGTAATATTCAAATTATGCGGCTTTTGTGTACGAACCGATAGTGTTCCACTAATCGGACTAAATCAGAGAACAGCATGGTATCATTGAAATTAAGTTTAGAAGCCTAACAAAAAATCTATTCGCTTGAACCTAAATGTAAAGTAAAAATTTCACAAACGCATAACAATTTCCATCTCATTATATGCATCCGATTGCAAATAGAATTACATTTAATAATAATACATTGCAGTTATAATTTTATCTATCCTTTTAATTATCGAGTAATGTCCCTGCCTACCCGAATCTCTACCTGCCCGTATTCCGATGTATAGTCCTATCCATTTTCCTACCTACCCGCGTTTCAACTTTTTCATAATAAACCTACAAGTCTTCCGTTAGAACCGCGACGCGATTTATAAAATGTCCGATTTGGGGCTATACGCGCGCGAATGAGATTTAATAGGAGTCTTATTAATCTCGCACATATCCAAGATGTAAAGAAGATAAGCATATAACCCACCCCAATTTTGTTAAATAAGAACAAATCAACTTATTTCGCACATCGCCTTACTCGCATACCCCATCGGAGTGGCCAATATTGACCACTTAACCCGTCGTTTCCAGTCTTCTTTCGTTGGGCCAGATTGGACATACCTTTCGTTGCTCCTGGCCATACAGTCTGGTCATTTTGACCAGAGATCAGGAAGAAAGAAAACTCCTTCCATAATTGGTTTATCACCGATAGATATTTCTTACGGTTCGAACTATATGCGAGCGCCGATCGTATCGAAAAATGCACGACCAAGAGAGAAGTTATTTAAAGAAAGAACGTAATTTTTAAACATTTAATTTGTGAAACGGATCAAAGTGTAATTTCACCTCCGTTTTGAAAAGTACTGACCGTCTCTTCGTAACTCGATCTTTGAATATAAAATTCAAGCACATAAATATAGAAAAAACTTTTACTTCGTGTTATATTTATTTTAATTATATTCCGCGATATGAAATTAAACAATTAATAATTTCTTGATCATGTTGTGTAAAACTGATCGCGAAAACCGACCGCGAAAATTGACCGCAAAAATACGTGATGCATGTATTCATATGAAACGCATCTTAAAAGTATCGCGAGGATCGCGAGACATGCAGAATAAATGACGTAAGATCCAGAAAAGAGGAACTTGCCGCACGAGTGACACCGATATTATAATTGAATATTACAGTTAATCGATAATCTCAAATAAAGTATGAAAACAATTTCAAATTTAAGCATTCTCGGCAAAATATAATGAAATCTCACGTCATATTATTTTACTTTATACATATATCAATTCTTTAATTAAAAATGGGTAGGCTACGGGAGATTAGTTGGCCGAATATATCGATAATATTCGTCATATTTCGCGTAATTCCTATGATGTAGTTCAACGATTTTCAACATAAAAAATGAGCTCAACATACTTTGATTTGTAGAGCTCTATGAAATCATTTCTTTTCGATCAATTAAATATATTAAATAAAACGTGAAATTATTTGTAACCTATCCATTTTAACGTAACGGATCTACGAAATATATCAATCTACAATCTACGATCTACAATCTAAAAATGTAGATTCCGTTACTTTAATAAAAAACTGTTCACTCACCGACACGATGCGCAGCGGCGGAGTTGTATCTACGTTGATTCTGCAATGGCGCCCGTTGCCTCCTTCTCCATTCAGGTGTCCTCCTTTCAGGTGTCGTTGTCTCAGCTGTCCTCCGATACACTCGCGAATTTACACTTCCGTTTGTAAAGTCAGTCGTCACTCTCACTGTATCCAAATGCCACTTCACTCGCGAATTTACACTTCCGTTTGTAAAGTCAGTCGTCACTGTCACTGTATCTCCAAATGCCACTTCTTCGGTTTTCACTGTGTCCGATTGTCACTGACTCACAATCATTTCTCACTGGGTGAGTCTCTTGCCACTACGAACTGTTCGATTATATCGAGCATCGATGGCAAATTGCGGGAATTTAGCGATCGCACGATGATATCAATCGCTGATTATTCGCAGAGAAGAATCGCGGTTTCTTCCCGCACTTGTCGCGAACGCGTATCAAGAAAGACTAATATGATACGCAAAGCGGCGCGGGCACAACCGATCAATTCGACTGTCGCCGCGTGAATGATCCTGCGTACGTCGTCGTAAACACCGTAAAAACCGAGCGCGGATTCCAAGAAATGACGCAGCGCCGTGAACACCTCGGTCGAAAACAATCTATTGTAATGCGTGCTCGGTTTTCGGCCTACGTCATTGTCGACGTCAGTCGAATTGAACGGTTGTGCCCGCGCCGCTTTGCATATCATATTAGTCTTTCTTGATACGCGTTCGCGACAAGTGCGGGAAGAAACCGCGATTGTTCTCTGCGAATAATCAGCGATTGATATCATCGTGCGATCGCTAAATTCCCGCAATTTGCCATCGATGCTCGATATAATCGAACAGTTCGTAGTGGCAAGAGACTCAACCAGTGAGAAATGATTGTGAGTCAGTGACAATCGGACACAGTGACGCGCCGTCCTCGCGAAACCCGCCACCGACAACGGCGGAAGCGGCCCGGGGTATCGCAAACACGCACACCGCCGTTCACACTCTCGCGGTCGTCGCGACTCCTTCACGCCACGCATGCACGCGACACTCCCGCGGCATGCGTACCCCGCGTGCTCTCGCGCAACGCAACCCTCGCGCCGCGAATCTCCAGACCGGCTAAGAAAAAGGAAATGCACGCGGTCGCGAGACTCGACGCAAACACACACACGCAATCACTCACACGCGAGACCTGTGCCCTGCAGGCTCCGGGGAACCGCGGTTGCTTGTCGCCGCGACCGGGACGCCCACCAAACTCTAAAGCCAACGGGCCGTAGCCCGGGCGACACCAAACGCGAAATCTTCCCGGCGGCGACAGAACAACCCGGGCCCGGACGCGATCGTACGGGGCGAAACAGACGGAGGAGGATCTCACCGGCACCTCGGCTCTCCCGGGATCGGCAGGCGGCAACGGCTCGTCCTGGGCTTCCGCGGGAACTCGCACTGCGTGGCGGGAAAGCGACGGCAGCGGCAGACCGGGGTCCTCACTCTTACAATACTCGCAACAGGCTGCTCCGAATTTTCCGCGATCGCGGATCGATAGCCCGGGGCCCCCCCTTTCGCCCGCGCGGCGGCTCGCGCGAGGCGCGTGCCCCGCGGCCAATCGCGCGACGGCACGCGACAACGCCGGCAGCGAGATTTTCACGCTCGGGCGCAGGTACCCGCGATATCGCCAAAATTTCCTCGCGTTCCCTCGATAGGGCTGTCGCAGCGGCTCCCCCGCTGACGCCCCTCAGGTATCGTGTCACGGGCCCTGGGCTCCTTCCTCCCGGCTCGCTGCTCCGCTCGCTCCGTTCCCGCTCCGCACGCCTCTCCACCGTGCTCGCCGCGGAATTTGTCCGTTAGCCGGCCTCTCGTCTCTCCTCTGCCCTCGCGTCCATGCGTCCTCACACGCTCGCGTTCATCATACAAAAAAACAAAATAATCAGCCATACGTCGGAATTTCCGAGTAACGGTCGCCTCTCTGGAGACTGCGGCACGGTTTTCCCTAATCTCGGCCTGTTGCCTTGAGGGAGGAACCCGGTGGACGCGCTCGCGGGACGGCAACGTCACAATGCATAAATTAAAATAATTCGACGTGAGATTCCAATATATTTTGTCGGGAATGTTTACATTTTTAATTATTTTCATACTTTATTTGAGATTACCGATTAACTGTAATATTAAATTATAATATCGATATTACTCGTGGGGCAAGTTGCTTTTTTCTAGATCTCACGTCATGCCCGTTCTACACCTACGGATGATCCTACTTGTAGCTCACCTGATATCCCTTCTATACCTAAAGCTAATCCTACTTGCAGCTTATCCGAGGGGTAGTATAAAGTGTAAAAGGGTACACTGTGGTTGGTTTCCAATCGTACCAACGTACAACCACAGTGTACCCTTTTACACTTTATACTACTCCCTCGGATAAGCTGCAAATAGGATTAGCTTTAGGTATAGAAGGGGTATCGGATGAGCCACAAGTAGGATCATCCCTAGGTGTTGAACGGGCATTAAGCACGCTGGAAATCGGCAACATCTTCTTTGACATTTATGAAAGCACGCACTTGTTGTAGGTAATCGATGTGCAACTGGCTCAACTGTGGTTCTCCGGGAAGGAATTATTATCTGGGAAGAAGCTGAAGGACTTCGTGGGTATTAACGAAAAAACCAAGGTGATCGTGAAGCTGCAGAAGAGAGGATCTGGAAAACCCGCGAGGGAGCCGTTGATGTCGGAAGACGAGCGGAAACAATTAATGCTGCACGCGTATCGTCGCGAAGAACAGCTGAAGGTAAGTATATTTTCATACACACGATGACGAGGATCTCTCGTGTAAAGTATGTAGCTTTCTAATTATCGCGGCTGCCTAAAGTCCAGCAATTATAAGAACTAACGCGTTTTAATCGAATCTCAAAGAATCTAAATAAATTGTCAGGTAACAGTGACATTAACAACAAATGGCGATCAAGTTGCACGGAAAGAACAATGTAGCTGCTGTAGCTAAAACTTAGCAAAATAGGGACAGCTAATATTTTTAGTTGTGATAGCTCGATATTTTGCTACGACAGCAAACCGTTTGCTGTCGCACCTAATACAATAGGCACAGTAGCAAAATATTGAGCTATCACAACTAAAATATTAGCTGTCCCTGTTTTGCTAAGTTTTAGCTACAGCAGCTACATTGTTTTTTCCGTGTGACCTGTAGTCGAGCTTGGCGCGTTCTATTTTATCCCTAGCTGCTCGTTGAAAAATCAATAGCACGTGCAAATTGTAAATAGAAATAATAGCAGAATTTTTCAGAAGACTCGTAATTGTTTGTTGGTAAAAAATCTGTATTGCAATTTGCAATACGTATCGAAGAAATGTAATCGATTCGATTACTACTCACGAGGTATTCGAGAGCGAGAGCGTACTTGTGAGTCGCCCCCATTGAGCCACGTGCTTAGGAAAAGATAGTACATGCCTATCGATCACGCGCGTGTCCTCTGCACGCCCTATTCGAACTGGGGTAGCTTATTTCAGAAACAGCTCGCAGGCTGGTTAAGCTGATACTGATCTTATGAGCTATCTTATGTTGACACGTGCCTTTTACGATTGTAAATTTTCCCTTGCAACCGAATGATCCAACACTTCTGACGCATCGAACAGAAATAAATTTACTTTTAGAATTGCACGACCCATCGGTACAATTTAATTTAAATACATTATTTTAACAGCAAATGAAACAGGACTGATTTGAAACTTACAATTAATTCGAGAAGACGCCCCTTTCGGTCAGGCTGGATTTTGTACCTTAATAATATCTTTTCTGCGTGGATCTTGTACATTTTTTCCAACTCAGTAAACTACGTCGATTATTTGTCAGCTTGAAACACAGCTTTTTGTCGGAACAGTAAATCCACGTGCTCAAATCGATTATCGACTTATTGTTTCAACAAAAAATCTGTTTCAAGACAGACAATGCGCGCAGTTTACTGAGTTGGAAAAAGTATACAAATTTCACACAGAAAAGATTATTAAGCTACCAAGATTCAGTTGAACAGAACCTAAAAAGGCATTTTCTCTAATTAATTGTAAACATTATTTAACGCAAGAAGACAGTTAATTTACAATATAAAATCCTGACAAAGCTTCTCTATACATTATTTCCGTTTATGGAGACATTTTCAGATTATGAAAATATCTCTTCAAATTAATGACTCTGTTCATACTTTATAATTGTAATCAAATTGTTCAGTACACTATAGGAATGTCTGCAAATTATTTTCCAATTATCAAGTAGAAATATTTTTGCGCCCCTTTTCAGTAATTTAAATTAAAAGATAACGCAATATAAATGCAATTAATTTTAATTAGTGGGAACAGTTACAGAGACTGATAGATGAGTGTAATGAACCCATGGCAGCGAATGTTCCATTTCCATTGTTTCCATTATCGATCTGGAGTCGCAGCAAATAGCCTTTAGTGCGACTTCCACGTACAGCAAACGTACAAAAATCAATCATCGGTAAAAAGAAGCTACTGTTTCAAGATAATTTGCTTTACATATTCTATATTCTACTTAATCTACTTCTATTAGTCTAAAGTACGTGGAGTGGACGAACATCTCTCTTTAGATAGCAACAGGTATATGCTAATCTTCCCAAACTATTGTTCGCTTGAATAATCATAGTCTTTCGTCAAGGGCTAACTGGCTTTGCTCAAAGATTTATTTGCTTCTTTCCACGTCGTTTCTTTGAAAGAACTTATAAACTTAGTCAAGCTTTGATCAAGAGCGGAAAATGTATACAGTGGCTAAAAGAATTGTGACAATATATGTATATAGATCTGTCTCTTTAAATTTCGCAGCTCTTACATTATGTTGAACAGAATTAACGATTTAGCAAGATTAGTGCTTCAAATTTCTAAAAACCAGCTGTCCCTGCTAATATATTAATTTTGTGAATCACATTAAATTGAAAACATTAACAACGATTATTATTATTAGGTAACAGTAAGAACATGTAACATATTAATATTAAAGCGTGCTCTTTTATTCGTAAAATCTATTTCAAAGCATTTAGTAAATTAGTTTTCTAAAACAGTTTCAACTCGCTACTCTACATTAATTAGATGAAAGGCATTGTGGTTTCTTAGATGTTTTAACAATTTGTTATTCCGTCAAAGCTTAATCGCATTGGTCGATTGGGCACAATGGAAGCTAATGTTCTTGCCTTTTTTAATTTATGAAGTAGATTGCTTGTCGGTACGTGGTATTTTACCCCGTCGTAAAAAAGAAACTTGAACAACGGGAAAAAAATATTCTCATTAAGAATCTCATTAAAAATAAACGCGTCCAGCCGACACGTGCCGCACGAGACATCGCGTCCGTGAATTTTCATGACGTTTCGTTTGCTTTCCTTAAGTGGTCGACAGAAAGAGGCCGCGGTGTTTGTTGCAATTGTAATTTGCTCAGTTTGTCCAATGAGTCGCCCCTAAGTTCCAATATTTCCCTCGCTGGAGAACGAAGGCGGAATTTCTGTCTCGCTAGAATTCTCGATAGAACTTGTACCTTAATTCTATTGCGGTGCCGGTTATTTATCGATACATCTCTCCGTAGAACGTAATGATCGATGCTTTATTTAACTGCGAGACAATTGGTTTTCTTCCGCGTGACATGTCTACAAAAGAACATGTATGCTATTGTGTAACATAGTAAATATATACGCCCGCGTTCATTATTTTTACAGAACATTATACCTCACAAAGTTACGCGAAAGAAGAAAACTGTAGGTTGATTTAGCATTCTTCGAAAATTCGTTGAGCGTAATAGACGTGTCATGCATCAATATTAAGCTGCTACTTTCGAGCAACTACGAGTGACAATGCGTAGAGGGTAAATTTCTATTTATATCTCTATCTCTTAGGGAAGTTTACTGATCCAAGCAATCGCCCCCTTGTCTTTTACGATACAACTCGCTCGTGGTCGTATCTAGATTTTCGTGTTATTCGCTAGTTGGTTGCCCTATCACGTAATGCGGTCCGCTAACCGACGTCTGAAAGCTTCCTTTATTCGGTCTCTTCTTTATGTTCATCTAAACCTTTCCATTAAACATTATGTCAGGTCGAGCTTCTTATAACGCGTTGATACGTAAATACCATCTTATTGCTTTCTCTTTCTTTTCTCTCTCCCCCCCTCTCTCTCTCTCTCTCTCTCTCTCTCTCTCTCTCTTTATCCATTGCAATACGTAGTAATGAGCATTTACCGGTGTCTGTGCATTATGAAGAACCCTTCAAATGTCAAGTAACGAAGCTGCACGACTGACAGAACGCACTTGAGTTTAATCTGCAGTGGCTACGAATGTAGGTCGATGACAATTCAGTTTCGCGTTTGTTTTTATCGTAACGATACGATCACATTTCGCGCTCAAGTGACGTTAGACGATGAGAGGTGTAAAAAGATGAAACTTTATCGTGACGATTGATTGTTTTTATCTATGTTGTCACGGTATTAATATAAAATACCTTCCGACATTGATGCAAACTATTTTCTATTTTCAAAGTCTGTTTATTAAATGAAATTATATAACACAACTGCTATGATATTGATGAAATGCAAAGAGAATAGTTTGTACGTCTGCAAAAAGATGAGCTGTCGAGGAGATCGCATGGAGGGGCGGTCAATTTCTGTTTTTAAAGAAAAATTTCCCGCCGCTCTGCAATTTTGTGCAAGATTATAGAGAAGCAAAATTGTATTCGTTTCGCCAAGGCCAGAAAATGTTTCGCGCGGTAAATTAATTTGCATGGGTGTATTTATAAACGAACGGGGCAGATATGAGAACCATTTCGTTCTTGCGCAGCAGGACCTTCGAGTGATGCCCTCGGCACGAAGTGCCTCGTGACACGCAAGGTGCGGCGATATTACTTTATTTCAATTCAATGATGAGCAGCACGCTTCTCTATCACGAAGGAAATCCGTAAAAGGAAGCAGAAAATTTTAACTTCCATCATTTCATCACGGGGGAAGAACGAATATTCAACGAAGCGTTTTTCTTTTTCTCTTCGATTGTCCCCCTTTCCGTATCGTATTTTCCAATCGCGCGGACACGCAATATTTATTCTGTTTACAGGGGTAATTTTAAACGAATTAATTATACCTTTGACGGAAGATAAACTGAGATGCTGATAAGGTAGTGAAATATACGTTTGAAGAAACTTTATTTTAAAAAAAGAGAAATAATATTTTAGTCGGCACATTTATATATGTCACAAATGTATTTGACATGAAGGCATACCACAGAATTGTATTACTTATATACATATATACTAAGCTATCAGCAATAATTTTATACATACAAAGAGGATTAGCCCTTTCTCTAGTCAGACAGATAATTAATCATATATAATACAATTGTTCGTCATTTGCATAATCGTATATTCATTTGCCAACTACTAGTCTTGCATTGTTCCCTTATAATCGGTGTTCCTTAAAGATCGTTTCGATGATCGCTTCGCTAATTACTGCAATCGTTCGTTTGGTTCATTAGCTACCTCTTCGCCCGTTTTCAACGTCAAAGTATCGTACGTCGATCACATTGCTCCTACGACTACATGATCAATCTAATGACCTCCAGATAGAAAGAAATACACGCGAGATTAGACTTTTATGTACTAACCGGAACTCCGCTACTTTTATCACGGAACAGAAGTAACAGAACTGCGACATTCGTTTCCGAAAGGGTTGTTTCCTTCGAGTTACTTCCTGTGTCTCTTAGTTCTCGCGGATGTTGGTAGGTACATTTTATTGGCTCCATCGAAAGCGGAAGAAGGCACATAGAGTATAGTGACATCAGAAAAGTCTTTTTTCCTTGCTGCCTCATTGTTTCTAGCTAATTTCTCTTCTTGCGTGCGCATGTGTAGTTACGTGTGTGAGATTATATTAACTTATTAACTATTTTAAATCGGTATCTTACATTGCTTTATGCGAGTGTATATTTCAATTCTTTCTTAGGTTTTGGTTATAAACTAAAGCGTTTCTAACGAAATAAAATAATCAATAACTGGCGTCGTTGCGAGAATGAAAATCAGATATGAAATTAAATCGTTGTGAGAATGAAGATCAGATAGGAAATTAAATTATGACTTTCTGCAGTAATTATTTATCTGAAAAAAAGATTATTTTATCTTAGCAAGAAAAATGTAATAAAGAGCAAAAGTGTGAAATTAATGCAGTAAAATGGAAAACGAAAAATAATTTTATCGCATTGCGTTATTACAATCTCTTGTTATAAAAATTCGTACCACTAATATTTGTTATTTGTATCAAGTATCTCAACGATTTATTATACGACGGATTATATTTTGATGCATTTTTGATTGACTCGAAACACACGCTGACACGAAACTGGCACGAAAATTGAGGCAATGTCCATCACCACGAATATGTATATAAATGTCTCGCTGAAAGCATGTTATATTACGTTATTATAACATGTTATGCTATATTATATTATTTATATATTTACATCGCAAGGTACTAATACTCGTGTATCACAAGTACGTAGCACAATACACTGTACACAATATAATTTACGCTTAGGCAGTCGTAGTACTCGGGTTCGCGTATCGGGAATAGGAAATCGCATTGAATGTTTTCACCAGCGGTATTAGATGTATCTGATCATAGTAATACGAAGTTAACTACGGTGTGTAGCACAAAAAGTGGATGTAGAAAAAATATAAATGCACGTTCGTTGACAAGCGAATATTAAACGAGCGCTAAATCGCCGTGTTATCCTATACGTTGTACATGAAAATAAGCTTGTTTATTTCGCGTTTTACGCGAGGATTGCGATTACCGCGTAAAAAAATGGGTGTTTTCGCGAAGTACTGCGGTGAATACCTCAGCGTTAATCCATTCGTTCCGTCACTTATTCCGCTTTGTCTTCGTTGATTAATGAGCGGTCCATATTTCTTTATCCGCGCACATCGCGCGGGGACGATTGTTTGACGCGACCGTTGTTAGATATCATTCGTGAAAACACGGCGGCAGCAAACAATCGCGTGTCACACATGTACTTTAATGAAAGTATCCTAAGTATATTTGGAGGCAAAATCTTAAAGCTATCGACGATTGTGATGCCAGTGTCAATCCATTTGTCTTGCGCGCAAACAATGTGATAGCGATACATCGAAGGCAACAGTGAGCATGTAAATGTATCCGGATCGACATATGTATAGTACTAGAGAGTCAATAATATTAACTTGGACCCCGAATGGGTTTACTTTCGATGAGTTTCATTGGCAGAGATCACTTGAATTTAATTCCATCTCGAGCACGACCATCAGTCACATCATTGTGACGCCCACAGTCATTACAATGATTATTGTAACTGTAGAAAAATTGACTGCACCTCATTCCGGAAGACGACGTTAATGTCCATCCGAGAATCTGACTTTTGCTTAACACGTCAATTTGTTCGAACTTGATTTTTAAAAGAATGTCTTTCTCAAGATCTTTCTTCTTGGATGGATCTGTCCGGTGTGGCGACCCCTTGAAAGCCAAGTGTCGCGTTTTCTAAAAGGAATCCTCGTCCATGTCGATCAACGGCAACCTTTCGTAACCCAGCGTACCGCCCATGCCAAGCGGCTTGTACTGCTAAAGGGCCATACTTCTGATCTCGTTCTCATTCGCCGGGCTTTGAGCCGCGGAGGACGTCGCCTCGACGAGTCCTTGGTCCTCGCCCTGGACCTCTTGCTTGTCAACGCAGTACCTGCAGCGCATCTTCGCGTCGTCTCCCACCTGCACCGATCGCGAAATGACAATCAGGGTGATCACGCTGATGACGAACAGCCCGGCCGGCACGATAATGGCGATCAGCAGCTCCATTCGCGTCTTCCTCAGATCGAAACGTGCAACCACGAATAACGAGTTGTTCTGCATAACACGCATCCGCATGAATAAAAATTGCGCACATTATAAATTATTCATGTTATTGTCATTTTACAATTACAGTGGCGATGACAATCAATAATCATTGAAGTCACTCTTTATGAATAATTATATTAATTTTTTTTTGGTACCAATTTAATTGATAGAGAAAAGATGCCATCTTTGCCCTGTTTGCCGAATTTAATGCATTTTTTTACAATTGTGCCAAAAAGCACAAAAATTATCGAGACGTCGCAATATTGTGTTTGAAAAAAAGATTCAATTTTCGGCAAGAAATGTGGTCTTGCACATCAAAAGTTACTAAATCTGTTACTAAACGCGTTATACATTTTCCCCGCTGAAAATGCGCGATTGCCACTGGTAAAAGAATCCGCTCAGTCCTCACGTGTTCGTTAAGAAAAATGTCTTTCGACAGAAAATGTCTTACCTTATTGTAATAACAGGGATATCTGCTCTGCGCGGTCTGATTATCGCCGTCGCGGCCGTGGGTGAGCTGGAACTGTTTGCACTCGCCTCTCAAAGTGTTGACGCAACGCTCGAGATTGATGTACAACCGCGAGCTATTGTAGATCGTCAAAGACTGCTGCGCCGGGACATAAGCGTTCGTGGGATCCGCCGGGTGCCGCAGGCTTTTTTCATAAATTTTCAGGAAGCTCGTGAAGTTAATGAACGGTTCGAGGATCGGAATCTCGCCCAACAGCGTGCCGTTCAGGCAGTCCTCCGTGCTGCGAAAGTGAACGGGCCGGTAACGATATGATGCAATATCGGCAATTTTGTCGCTCTTCGAGTGAAAAAAAAACGGAATGGAAATGATAAAAATGTAGCTATGAAGAACATTTGAAAAGACAAATATTTTCACGCATCGCAATTTCCGTAGATGTTTTTAAGGTGAAAAGCTTTGTTACACGTACATATTCAATTTTTTAATCAACTACTGTCTGTGACAGAGAACACGAGCTAAAGTTGAATCTTTTCTTGCAAGCAATTTTATTGAGGTCAATTACTTCTGTCGCGTAAACCTTTGCGTTTCTCTATACCCGCCTCTTATAGTCCAGTATAGGGTATTTCCATAGCAACCATTGATCCCACGACTGGGTTTGGGCTCCCCCTAATATTTTGTCCCCTTTCTCTGACATTGGCATACTTATCCTTTTTTTACTTTCTTGATATATCAATGAAATTCCGATCTCTTAGCTACAAAAGAACGTGATGCTAAATAATATTACAGTTTAATAACATTTCACGAATGTGTATGAACTGTTTTACATGGTGACCGTACAACGATTTAATTTTTGCTACAAAAGTGTGCATAAATTCGTGTCTCACTAATTAATCGATACCTATGACGAAGTTATCAATTACTATACTTTTATGAAGAGGGGAGAATGGAGCAGGAACATTTTCTCCGTTCAATCAGTCAGAAAGCCCCAATCAATCAGCGGCAATTCGATTCTCGAGATTCTCACGTTTCATTGAATCTCTCTTCTCATTTTCTACGCGCACATTTACAACACTCAAAGATGCGATAGAACGAATAGCTAATCTAGAAACAGCGGCGGAAGATCTTTTTAAAAGCTCTACGCATAGATTTAACACCTTAACATCTTAAAAATTAATTACTATTGTAAACAATTGATAAGGATCACATAAGTTGATCGAAACGTTTGACTTTTCAAATCTATCAAATAATATATAATTTATTATTTCGGCACACAATATCTGGCGTTTGGGCTCTTATCGCCCTTCCTTGCGGCTACCAATTTGATAAATAAATATAAACTTAATGCGAAATTTGCATTTAAATTTAGTATTAATTTAGTATTAAATTGTGTATTATATAAATATAATTTTCTAATAAGAATTAACGTCAGTGTTTTCCTGACCATACCTGGCATATTTAAGGCATATGCCTCGGTGGTCGAATTGGTGAGACGCCCGCCTAGAGTGTAAGGGAGGTCCGGGTTCGAACCCTGGCTGAGGTAATACTTTTGGCAATAAATTTTCTGTATATTATTAAAAATGCCAGGTATGGTCATGAAAACGCTGACGTTGTAAATATAATTTTGTTTGCAACGTGTACAAAATATTAGCGTACCTCTTTATACAACAATCGCACGTTGATACTCATCCCATTTATCTCTTAACGATGTTTTGATTATTTTAATTAGTGCAACTACGTAACGAGATTCAATGAAACGAGATTTTAATAGGATAAAGTTAAACGAGATAGAAAATTCCTCGCAACAAGACCTCGCTGCACATCCGTCATTACCTGATGACATTGCCGTCCTTCGTTACGGCGAAGCAGCTCGCGACGATACTGCCGTTCCGCTCGTCCCAGATTTTAACGGGCTTGTCCAATCTGATACCGGGTAGGCTACCGTTCGCCCTGTTCAAGGCCATCCCGCGGGAGCACCTGGCCGATATAATACTGTCGTCCTGCATCAGGTACACGTTCACGTCGCTGGTGGTAATGTTCGGGCAGTAACGGTCGCAGGTGAAGGCGTTCTTGATTTTCGTGCATCTGGAGTGTTGGCAGCTGAAGAAGCCGTTCAGTTTCATATTATCCTTCTCGCTGTCGATGATGACGCCGTCGGCCTTGTAATGGCAGAGCATCAGCTCGCTCATGTCCGAGCAATGCCCGAGGCTGCAGTTGACCACCCCCGTCAACATGCTGCACTCGCTGCCGTTGTTACAATTGTACCTCTTCATGCTTCCCAGATTCACCTACCGACGTTTTCAAATCCTCACTTTAAACTCACGACTAACTACATGTCGAAATTACCATATCGTGTATCGATCGGCTGCAGCAAGTGTCAATGCAATCGTGGTTTCAATCTGTCGTAATTTTTTATTTACAATTAGAATTATGCGTAGAGGAAAGTCCCCTGTTATGAGGTAGCGGGGTTTCTGTTAAGTTAACAGGCGTCATCGATGGATTCCACTATGAATCTATTCGCTCTTGGAGCGAAATCTGTTTAGTGGAAAATTCATTGTTGCGTAATCGTTGCGATAAAAGATTTGTGATTGGATCTGGGCGTTGAAAACCTGCTATCTCACATTAGAAGCCTATCTCATAATAGAGGACTTTCCTCTATACATCAACTGTGACCTCTGAATCTTCTGGACAATTATTCGTTTTTTCTTTTTACTAGAATGTTCAAGAAATGTAAATGAAGTTCTGTTATTTAATTACGACAATTAATTCGCGCGGAAAATTATTTTAGAATGTCTGTCCGGCGTCATTATCAATGCAGCTGTGTAAAAGGCTCCGTCATGTATGTTTTAGTTACACGCGATATCGCCCTTTCTCGTCAACGCCATTAATTAAATTCCATTACTTTCAGAAAGTTGCGGGCCTGTTAGCAAAGCATTAATGGTCGGCATACGGTACGTTGCCGTGCGTCTAAATATTCATATTCATAGGGCACTCCCTCGGGGATAATTCGTATCCTCCCAACTCGTGACTCTTGCTTTAAATTGGAATACCGGGTATTTTTAGCTGCTTTTTACGATAACTTGAAACCCTTCGGCTGCCGCGGACAACTTCCTTTGGCGAAACAACGACAATTGGAATTATATTTTCAATGCAAATGCATATTCGACTGCATAATTTGTTCTCCCGTAAAAATTAATTCACTGCATATTTAATTAAAGCTTTCAAATTAAAATACAATGTGACTGAGAGAGAAAGAAATTGTTATTTATTGCGTGCTGTTTTATCGTAATAAAATTTTCCGATTGGTGCAGGATATAATAGGCGCTCGTAAATAAGGTTTCTAATCCGCGAACATTGTTGACAAAACGGCGAGTTGTTTGTACAATGTACCGACGCAACGGTGGAAGTTTATGTTGTAGTTTGACTCCTTCAACTATCATGTCTACTTTTACTCAGCACACTTTCATAATGTTCGTTAAATATACAGGGTGTCCTGAAATTCGCGAATCAAAATACCATAGCAAGAATGTCGTCGAAAAAAGAAATTAAAAAGTTATTTGCCATTTTTCGTTCCGAGCAGTAGTTTTTTTTTAGATAAAAAGGTTTAGTGCACTAAACTATCGACGCGCGACTCACGGACAGGTTTCCGTTCAACCGTAATGTATGATTGGCCTGTTTTGAACCTTTTTATCTAAAAAAGACTACTGCTCGGAACGAAAAATGGCAAATAACTTTTTAATTTCTTTTTTCGACGACATTCTTGCTATGGTATTTTGATTCGCGAATTTCAGGACACCCTGTATAATCGAATTCAACAATGAGAGCAGCTAATTTTGCACGCAAATCATGAGACGAGAAAGCTTTTCTCTAAGAACTTCTCGATGACGGATTAAAACGTTTCACGCGGCGGATTTTATAACTGCATTTTTTCCTCATGAATATCGCAAAAGGTTCAGCCTGTCAACAGACTGGAAACTGTCCTTACTGTAATTCGATGCCTCGTGTTATGGATCGTCGTATGACGATGGTAAGAACTTGAGACGAGATGGAAATTGAAGAGCAAGTCGAAAAAGCGAGGTGTGATTTTCATATCTTTTTGAAAGCAAGTAAATAGTTTTTGACAAATGAGTGAGATTATTTAATAAGATTACGCTCCATGCGTATAATCTAACATCTTATAGGTGTCATTGATTTCAAGCTCTACAAAGATTGCAAAGGTGACAAATATCGATTGATTAACGTTCCCTCTTTCGCTGTTAATCTGCCGAGGTGACCGGTATAATGTCGACATTGTACCTTAATAATAAATTACAGTCACCTTATCAAGGATGAAGTGGAATAAAGAAGGAGAATAAAGAATTGATCTCCAAGTGGTAGGGTTTTTACGAGCGAAGCCGTTGCCTCGTGCTTGAATAAAGCCGCGAACTCCGGAGAAAGCATTTTTAATAATGAAAGTAATTCCGAATAACAAGTGTCTCGTTACACTTTATTGCGTATGCGATTCGCATAAATCCTCCGCAACATCCACCCCGCATCGACGTTTGGCGGCGCGGCGAAGAAATTGGAGGCCACGTTGCTTCAGTAAAAATGTAATATCCCCAAGAGATGGAAACGTACGCCCACGGGAAAGGGTCGGCTCGTGTGGGAGCTTGCGATCGCGCTTGGTTGGGAGCGTAGCGTGAAATAAAATGATCGGAATCCGAAGGGTAAACGTGCGTCCCGGCCACTCGAGGAGAACCTTCATACCACGTCGAATGCAAGGTTCTGAGAAAAGATTATGGTCAGTGGGGTACGCGAGCGAAGCTCGTTTATTGTCTTCGTCGAAGCTTTGCTAAGGATTTCCGAGTTGATTGGGTAATTGTACGCGATTGTTTGCGTCTAACGAGTGAGCATTGAGCGAGATCGTTAAATTTTAATATCAGATCCTTGTGCCATAAATGTTTCCAGCTTGCGAAAATTATGACAAGCTCGTTAATGGCATTCTCCCGTAGTTTCTTGTTAATTTTAAGCTTCTTTCTCTTGACGGACAATCACATTGTTAACCTAAACTAATAAATTGCTAAAGTTTAAATTCATATTTAAATAAACCTGTCAAACAAATTTTTTTCTCAATGCAATTGTTTTCCGTTTCTTTCCACGAAAGGAGTAAAATGTGTTCCAGTATAAGCCCTACGTTCTTGCTGCGGTACTTGTTGAAATATTACTTTGCATTCAGCCTTTTTCAAAGCAAATTTTCAACAGTTTACACGCTCACGTGTCTGCGCGTGATGTCTGTCGGGGGCTTCCAAATATTTAAGCAAAATTTAACGTACACTTATTAGTAAAGCATTGCCATGTCAACTGAAAAAGCTCGTTGACCTCGGCCTTATTTTCTTTGTCGTTAAAATTTTTTATGTTTCGACCGTAGCGAAATGCAATATTGAATCGTGGTAAAAAGAGAAAAAAAGGACAGAGTGCCGTTGCGTCCTTTTACGCACCTGCGGGCACGCGATGCTGCTGAACTGGGTGCAATTTTCGAAAATCACGTCGGTGCCATTACGTCTCACGGTCGCGTGGTACTGGGGACAAAAGCCGCTCGTCTTCGTCAAGCACCACTCGCCGCAACTCGTCCAGCCGCAATTATTCACCATCGAGGCGTTAACGGTTTGGCACATCACCGGTTCCGGCTCGATGCCAACGTGGAAAGCTCTGAAATTACGCCGGTCTCGTTAACGCGCCTCTCGGATTACCTCGTGGAAACAAGCCGGGGCCATCTACCCGCGGCTTCGCCTCGAATAATATTTCTGACTTGAATAGAGCGCTCTAATTTCCCCTTAATAAGTGCCGCCCGATGAACAGCGCGATCTTCCGCGAGAAAAACTTGGAGGTAGGAACAAGTCCTCTGGATCGAAGCTAACAGTCTGCCGATCAAACGTATTTCGAAAAAAAAAAGCTGGAATCGATACGCCAGAAATCAATTTCTAATTTTAGATTATAACGCGTCGCTTTTTTTGTACCTATACGATGGCGCGTAGATCGCTACGCTGAGGTAAACCAAAGCCACGCAGCTGATGACGAAGGTGAGCTGGAAGAAGCATATGCTGCCGCAAATCCGACGGTCCTGTTCCGGTATCAGGCGGCGCTTCTGCTTTCTGCCCATCGCGCGATGTTTTGCGATCCTCTGTGCCTTTTTACGTTTTTAAAACCTCTCGTTGGATTGTTCCAGTTTAAATTCCACAGGTTTTAATTCCGCGCCGCGTCGGTCATCAATGTGCATGTACATACATTTATGCGCAAACGTGATCCCGAAAACTATAGTGATTTTCCAGCGGCGGACTAATCGAAGAATTATTTCGCCCGTTTCGGAGTTTTGACCTTTATTCCCTTATCGATGCCGTGTCGCCGTTCAAATTTTAATTCTCCCCAATGATCCGATAATCCGCTCGTCAAATAATCTCGTACGTATTACATTTGCCTTCCCTCGAAGCACATGACATAAAAAACGAGCGACTTCATGTCGACATTTCATTACTGTCGTGCTATGGCAGGCCTCATAAAAGTTTCATCGTCGTCTCGCGCGAAAGAGAGAAGAAGCAACGATCCGAGAGATCAACGGACAACCGCACTCGCTTCGCGCTAAGAATCGATCGCTCGCAATAGCCCCATTTTCACTCTCGCGACATTGGATCGCGCACGTGCGCGGGCGAAATATTTCGTTGCGAATCTCCGTTCGTTTTTCCGCATACTATTTCTGTTCGAAAAGTAGAAGTTCGCAAAGTCGGTCGACAAGTGCGTGTGGGTGTGTGTGTCACGACTTCCATCGATTAGATGATTTTGCTATAGCTACCATCCTCTTATGGGCACGAACGCGCGTGACGTCGTGACGCACGATCGTCATACCATTTCGAAAAGCGCCGGATGACACTCGAGCTTCGAATCTCTTACTTGCCCGAGCGGCGAAAATTGTCGAGAAACCTGGGAGAAGCTCATCAAGAAGGTATCGTCCGCCCGTTTCGTATCCAACGCACGACTTGTAACTCTTCCTCGCTCTTCTCACTACTTGGAAGTAAATTAGTTTCGATTAGCGTTAAAGAGTCAAGGGTAATGTACCAAAGATTCGCCGTAAGCCCCAACTGTGTCACGCGAGTGACTCATTAGGCACGTGATTCACATTTCTGCTGAATCGCGGTGGGATGGGGCCTGTTCAATTTTTGATCGGACTTTATGCGATTCGTCGAATCGAGCGTACGGTGGCGTGTGACGCTGAACAAGTCACCCCCTGCGCGCGGCCCGCGGAACCACCCCCGTTCTTTCGCTAGACGCGTCCGATCTGTCCGATGCACTTAGGGCAATTACCACGTGTTAACTTCATTAGCCGGGTAGCTGCGAGCTGATGTTCTACATAGGACAGTACGGAGTTAGATGCTGGTAATCCCATTACCGCGGCAGCGTCGAGTGGCCGCTTAAATGTTTCAAAAATTGCGCTATTGATCCGGATTTCTGCGCCACCATTACCGTCGGACGTGACGCCGTTGGAATTTGTTCCTGTCGCTTCTCGCTGCGCCGCCGCCGCCGCCGCCGCCGCCGAGATTTCCGGCGGGCATGTAATTTGCAAGTAAAAGGCCGTTTTACAGTTAAAAGAATGACGTTTTAACGCGCGAGTCAATTTTAAGCCGCCACTCGGTCACGCGAGTTTTCCCTCCGTCGAGCACCTCTTCCCGTTGGATATCCAGAGCGACGTCATTCCGAGCGTTATTATTCAAATAGGAAGCAGGAAGCGGTACGCTCTTGCGCTTTTTTATAGTGGGAAATCGATCTCGGTGTTAGAGAGACGCTTCTCTGAGGGACACCCACGACGAAGTCCCTAATGACTGTTCCACTTGCGAATAACCTTGGAATAAGCGATTATCTTGCCCATAATACCTTTGGGATTCTCATTCTTGGAACATTATAGACATGCTACCTGATTCTGTTCATCGTCCTAAATTATTCGCACAACTTTATTACATCCAATTTTCCTTTTTCGCTTTTGTTATATAAAATTTACTACAATTTTCTATCCCCTTTTCTTGTCGAGGACGAAAGCCGTCGACGCAGCGAGAGAAACGATTCTGACCGAGTCGCTCTTCATCCGTCCGAATCCCCCGAAAGAGAACTACAGCTGCAGAATATTTTTTTACACTCTCGATATTCGTTGTCTGACTAAAGCGAGTATTTACTACTCGTTCGAAGCGCGTCTCCGATAAAATCGAAGCCGCTTTACCGTTAAGCTGATTGCGTGTCTCAACTTTTCATGGATGCCAAGTGCTCTGTTAGATGAGCTTTTTTTCGCTCGATTTCAAGCCAGTGGATAAATAGCTGGCACTTCTTTTTCGAAAAGACGATAATAATCCTTTCGCAGAAGTTCGGCGACGTGTACGAATTTGTTGCGAATAAAATCCGCGCATTTGCTACGACGATTCTAAAGACGTCGTTACGGCGAGTCGTCGTAAAATTTTCTAAAAACTTTCGCGTTTTTCACAATTTCATAATTGAAGGAGAAACTGAATCCTCTTTGCACCTTTTTGTTATAATCAACGCAATGGCTTTCGCTCTTTTCATCGTTCCCGCTCCATACTTTCCCGAAAATCTACACTTTGATACTAATTGCTCGCACAAGTGACACTTGACGACGACGAAGTCGTGTCATTTAGCCACGAGAATTTAACTTGACACGTGTACGCGATCGGTGCGCGTCCCTCGCTGGATCATCGATGCTGAGCAACGATCTCGCGATCATCTCCGCCCGCGAGTTCCAGAACAATTGCCATCTCGTCGCGGTCCTTTCTTCCCGTGGAAGTGATTCGCGATCACGCGAGTACGCGCGAGGTAGCCATGCAACCGACCAGCTCCGACGACTGTTTGAAAACAAGTTTGCTAGTCGGCCGTGTGGCTCGCGAGTTCTCTCGCACGGAGCTTGCGCCGTGGGTATATCGCGCTTTTCATGGGAAGGGTGGGATCCTCCCTCATGATGGAATGCCTGAGTGAAACGACCCACAGTTCACAGACTTATCTCATTCTGCGGCTACGAGGGTAAATCGCGAAACTTTTCGACCATCGAGGTGTAGTTACTTAAGCGTGGAAGACATTACAGAGATTGATAATCTCTCTCGCCAATTTATGGGACGCCGTATTCTTTTTTTATTCGACATTGACGAACAATTCAATTTTTCGCTAACGATTGTTCTTCGAAAGTAATTTAATATATTTTCACATGCAAAGATTCTCGGACGACATGTTCGACGTTTAATTCGCTTGCATTCCTTTGAAATTATATAAGTTTTCGATCTCGTAAGTTGTGAAAAAGTAACATATATTTTTTTATTAACGCGATGAATTAATAATTATAATATAATTGTTTAATAATTTACGTCTGTCTAATACGATATTTATGCGGGTTAAAAGTAATACGAGTTCTAGTGTCAATTAAGTTCTGTGATCTTCTTTTAATAATTCCACAATCGTACCTGCAGGATCGTAGTTTCAATTGCGTCTGTAAGGCTCAGCAGTTGAAATATTCAGGCAATTTTGCATTAGGGAATACGAAACTATTCTCTCTCGTCGTATATTATAAATTATGAAGTCAAGTGTTTAATGAAACGCAGCCAGTTGATATCTGTTTTATCGATTTAGATTCATCCCCTCGATATCAGTCGGGCAGGGTGAAGTGTTAGTTCCGCTGGATTAACATTTCTACGACCTTCGGAGCAAAAGGTCAAATGTCTTCGTTTAATGCTATGTAATCTTCGCATAATGCATGTGAAGATAGATTTTTCATGTAATACCATAGTTAGAGTTCGATATGCAACGCGTCTGAGTTTTATTATCACCATTCCTCAGCCTGTGAAGGCAGACCTTAGAACGTTAGAGACCAGTTTTCTATAAGACTATTATTTTAAGCAAGTATCGAGAAGCTAATGGAAAAGCTATTAACGGCAAGCTCCATTGATGTAAAATTGACTTTTATACATTCCAAATTCGACCAAGTCAGTTTAATCAAATTAATTCGCCTAAAATTAACATTTCCTTGCGTCATTTCGATAGATGTAACTGGGGAATACGAAACTGGGAAAGAGATGATATGTCGTCCGTTAACAGAAATCATTTTTTATGTATTTTAAACGAACTCGTACAATCTCTTATATACAATAGTCCGTTCGTATCGCAGAGCGAGTATGTGGTTTATATGTATATACACGCTGTATATAATATATATGTATATATTATGTACAATATTTATGATTCAGTATGTAAGAAGCGGTGGACGAGTTGAAAACTTTCGAGTAGAGAGAAAGGAAGCGTCTCGAAGAGTATTTTCTCATTTATATTAAAGATTTCTTTTTATATCTAAGGAAAGAGGCGAGAAAAAGAGAGAGGAACATGATGTGAGGAGCATGACAAGTATCCGGATATAGTAAGTGCGAGTATTATTATAGCGGCCAAATATAACATTACGAGGGGGTATATTAATACGTGAATAATTATCGAATAATGCTCGCGTCTGTCGGTCGAGGACAAACAGCACTGCTGATTTTCAGACAAGTATGACAGCTAAATCGCGTGTGGAAATAGAATTCGCAATACTCTCGTTTATTATCAATTCGTGCTCCATTAGGTTACTCAGTTAACCGCTTGTTTACTCTACTTCACCCTTGCGTATAAATTAGTTAAATTTATGCTAGAATTTGTTTACCTATCTAAAGAGAGATCTCAAGTAAATACACGCATCTTAAGTCTTTCCTTGATTATAACTTGCTATTAATCCTTCGAGAAGTGAACAGAGATTAAATTATAATCTTTATAGAATATCTTTATATGCTAGGTATGTGTATTATCATTTTCCATATCGCATTAAACATTGCAACGTTACCGTTATCGATATTTATTTCTCGTAATTCTAAAATTGGATAACAAATCGGAGGATTTCCGAATGAAATTTTTAAGATTTCATAATTCTCTACGAAAAAAAATCCTACGACTCATCGAGAAAGAAATTATTCGCTTGAGATCCCTAGTCTCTAATATATGTATAAACATCTTCTCTCGCGATCGATAAGATCGTGCGATCTAAGAATGCTGCCTACGACGATTGCGACCGGCTAGTCGAGCTAGCGAATTTAATTGGCACTAGAACCGATGCGAAAATTGTGCCTACACGCGAGCTAACTGCTCCTGGATTGTCCGCGTAGAGCTTTCTTGGTGTTGCGCTTGAAAGCTTTTAAATATCACATAAGAGTTTTTAATTCTAACTGAAGATGAAAATTTTGCGATGGCTCGATGGCAAACTGATGTGACTCTGCAGCTCCGGAAGCGAATTCAATTTGCGCCGTCGTTTCGTCGATTGTGAGCGTTTTGAGCAAATATTCTCGCGTGAAAGAAGCGCAAGAAAAGAGAAGTAGGAATCTCTCGATTCATATAATTCGATGCTCTAATGGCGTTTCAAATTAATACTTATCATCCGATTTCTAATTTTGATTATTCTTGAACATCTTATCAGTATTAGCGTAATTACAAAATTTAGCATCCTCGTTTGAAATTCATCCGACTTGCCTGGCACTAGTAAGTAGCAGCGAGAGAGAATCGAGTCGAGCGAAATCGTGTAATTAGCGCGACTTGAAGTCGACGGACATCCGCGATTCGGTGGCGATCGCGCGATCGATCGTCGAATGGAAACTAGCAAGCTTCGAGTGGGGAATGAGTGCCGAAACGTAGGGTCCGCGGGAAGTTGCTACCTCGTGGAAGCCCTCCCGTTCTGGACACCTAGAGTAAGGCCGAGTAAGGATTCACAACCATACTAGATGTAGAGGGTCACGACATGATTTCCATACGCTTCGAAACAAACGTTATTAAAATCAGTTTCGTCGGGTGCGGGCACTCTTCGAGTGACTCCGAAGCGCGGAACTTAAAACGCCGACAGAAACAATTTTAAGAGATATAAGCTAATTAAACATTGCAATCGTGGAGAATAATGTCATCGTTCGTCAAAATTCGATCAAATACTTACTTCAATTATTTAATATCCTAAAATTTACGCTACTTCGTTTCATCTTTTGTCACGTTCTCGATTGAAGCTACTAATAAATTATTATCTGCATTAATCGCAGCATTTAGCAATTATGCCAAATAGAATTATCGCTTTGCGAGCATGCTCCGATAGTGAACGATGTCGTTTCGTAGCTTACGGAATGTAGTTCGCGCGTCCCTGCAAAAAAATCCAACTTAAAAGTTACATCTACGCCTACAAACTATGCGCACAATGCGTACCAGCGTTCACGTGCGTTTTTATGCGTTTAACATACGCATTATACTCGCATATATTTATATAATATATCTTCTCTTTGACTATAGAATCCACGACGTGGCTTTGCATCCGCGTACAAAATTCGTAACAACTCTTATATCGATTTCGATAGAATTACGATTAGTAATATTCACAGGCTTAACTTACAGCCTAGTCTTAACCTACGTTACTTGGTGCGGAAGCGGATTTCGAAAGCAAACCGCGTCACTTGCTTCACTTCTCTCTTTATAAAGCACTTTCATAATTTACATTCACTACCGTTGCCTTTGTACTCTTCTCAATATCAGCAATAATATTTACGGATTGCTTCTCTTCCTATTCTACGGAACGTAATCACAATTTTAATTTACTCCTACGAAATGAAAATGTTTTCCAGCTCTCTCAGGTCACCTCTGATGCAGTCCTACGTCGGAAAATTATTAAGTACGCGAGAGCAGCTTATCGCTCGATCTACTTCGAAAAGCAATGACAATAGGAGGCACGAATGGGACAATTAAAATATTAGCGGTTTTGAAAAACCACATGATTTAGTGTAGCGAGTAACGCGATTGGCCTAATAGGAGTCCGCATTGGAGTCTGTCTCTTCAACTCGACGATGAGTGAAGATATTGCGCTTAGCATCGAGCCACGTACCGCTCGCAGTGCTCCCATCGATACTTGACAATCGATTTATCGTCACAAGGGCAGCTTATGTGACCAATCGTAAATTCACGGCTACGTAGCTTAATCTAAAACCCGATGCTGCTGCAAAACCTAATCTGTGCCGTTTAAAAACTATCGTACTGCTTAAACTTTTATCACGTAAGTAGGAAGGCGCGCCTTTATCACGAGTGACCTCGAAACACACGGAAGTTTATCATCGCCGTTATCCTAATTGCTTCGTTTGAAATTCCATAATTAATTTCTAGATTTGACTGGCAAGATTTTAGAATAAACAACTACCGCTGCCGAATAATTTAGCGAGTGTTATGCCGTACATCCAATGTATTATTAATTGAATTTCATTTACGTTATTAATATACCATATTGCGTTTCATTAATGCATAATATTGTTTCCTGACATTGCCGCATGTTTCGTGCCACATCCTCTCGAAACTCGCATGGAATACTGATAGATAATTGAAAAGTCCGAGTTCTCATATTCATGGCCCACTTTACATCGTAAATTTAAGGTACATCTTCTTCGCGCGAGGGTCTCATCTCATGGCTGATCCGCCAAATAAATCTGACGTTTTACGTTTCTTTCGAGTAAGTGCACGTAACTAATCTCGGTGCAATTGAAATATCGAGAAGAAGAGATAGAAAGAGATAAATTGTTTTTTCTTTCGCTGGCATATAAACCTAGGCGTATGTTTCATTTATTAAAAGCACGAATCGGGTATAAAGGACAAAAACGTCGGATGTAGCGTCAAGCGTAACTCCCTAATGAGTAAACCCGATAAAAAGCGATAACAACGCGAGATCCGTTTTTCCCACTCTTTGCGAATTTTCCTTAAGCGCTGTTGCTCGCTCGCTTAAATTTAAAAAGTAAAGTACGCTGGAGCCATTCGGAGATTATTTCGCTGGGATCACTCCCGCGCCGGGGGGTGAGCCCTTGGTAGCAGTCAGTATTCCTCTTCGTCCTCCTCGAATTCGTCCTCTGCCAAGATGCTGTAAGAGCGAAAAGGAACCAAGAAATTACGGAGATGGAAAGACGGGGGGGGAGTAAATGATTCAACAGTCGCATAATAAACGGAGGAATTACTTTGGCAATGGAAATCGTGCAAATCGTACGATGATTAAGAGCGAAAAAATGAGAGGGATGTGATGCAATTTAAAAAAAAACAGACGATTTCAGCTCGTTAGCGTTCGAGTTTCCATTTACAATGTTCCATTCCTCGCGATCTCGACAATCGTAGAGGCCGGAGAGCGACAAGTTCAAAGTAATTCCGTAAAATACAGTTTCTGCTAGCCCGCACCGGGCACTGCATACATACACTTACTCTTCCTTTCTAGCATACTTGTCCATGAGATTGCGACTCGATCCGCCGCAGGTCTTGTTCACCGGCGGACAATACCAGTAGCACAGCACGCCAAGTGTCGCGGCGAACAGCACTATGGGCACAATAATGGCTAGCACCAGATGCCTCAGATTCTCATCCCACGAGTATCTGCGGATAAAGATAGCGGACTATACTCTCCGCTGATCGGAGATCGTTGTGTCTCAGCGTGTCAAAATTAAAAGCCTCGTCCGCTTCTCGGCCAACACATTTATGTGCTTTACCGGGGATCGGACTCGTTTGTGTAAATTTACAATAACTACTCTGGCCCGAAGAAGATAACGTATTTTATAAACAAAACAGCGAGGATCAGATTTATCTATGAATTTCTAATTTGGATAGTTAATTTCAAGTTCAATAGATTCAAGATGATAACTTCCTGAAATTGGAGTTCGATTGAAACTTCCCAATTCTAAATTGTTTACTCTTAGGAAAAGGGATGTGGAATCGTGACTGGAGATTAAAGCTTGTTTAATTTGGTACTTTAAACGCTTAAGTTGAACACACCTCCCTGCTCTTTCGGGCATCCGGGAATGGGAAATGGGGTTCTTACTGATCGTACCTCGCGACAACCGTCTCCGGATGCGTTCTGCTGTAGTAGCAGGGAAATATCTTGCCGATATTTTCATAGGCGTATTTCTTCGCGAAAAGAGTACAGTTGACTCTGGGCGGGTAGCCGCATCCTTCCGTGTTGACGAAGAATTTGGTGTCGGTGACGTCCCACGGCACCGAGCCCAACGGCTTGGCCATGAACTCCTCGTACGGGAGCCTGGTGTAGTTGACTTTGATCTGATGGCAACGGAGCGCAGCCGAAGTACAACCTACGACAATAATAACGATATCATCGATCGCGCTCGGACTGCTGCGCTAGAACGCGAAAGGAATCGTGGAGTCACCTTCCCTGCAGCTCGCCCACGAACAGTTCTTCAATCCCTCCGCGTACACGTGCCCCGTCGTGATGCAGGCGACCGCGTGCGGCGAGAAATCCGCCAGGATGGTGGTTATCGCCGGCTCGACGACGAACGGGATCAGAAACAGAAAGGCGAAGACCGCGAGAATCGCCGTGGTGCCCAGGCAGACGGAGGTGTAAAACTTGGCCTTCTCGATCACGGCGCCTATCTTGGACTCCTCCACCTGAACGCCCATTATCACCGTCGATTCGTCGGAATCAATGATTGCGGCTGTTTGTGGGCCGCGCGGGGCCCTACTCGCGATTTACTCAAAAGCTTCTCGGAAGAGATACGTACACAGCCACGATTCGCGCGGCCGATCGGGGCACGTCCGAGGAGACGTGCTTATGCTTCGCTCACGGCACCTTCGTTCACGCTGTCATTCTTCCTTGTCCGATGGCTGCGGCGAACGAGGAAATAATTTTCCTCAAACGAGTGAAATATTATAATGCAAGCTGCGATTAATAACGATCTGCGAGTTTCATGAAAGAACTTGTGATTTATTTAAGAATTAATGCTAAAGACTTGCGAAATTGAACGAGGTATAATGTGACAAGGATAATTAAGCGACGATTATTAAAAAATCGACTTTGTACATTTAAACGAGACTGACAGATATAGAACTGTGTTGACTTGGCAAATTCCAAGTTTTGAATATGAGGCTTCTTGAGAGATGAAGGTCTTCGAGTAGGCCGACTTCCGTCGATATCGCTGGGTTGCTCGCGTCCTCGCTCGCAACTCCGGTTACGTTGAGTTGTTGGATTGTTAAGTAAGCAGGCTGTCGAGAACTCGTCTCGAGTCAATTATCCATCAGCGAGGCGCGCCTCTTGGCTGTTAAACTCTAGCTATTGGTCGCGGCAAATCAATCAGAAAAGGGGAACCTCTTAAGAGCTACGAACGTCACGTGTGGAAAAACGCCAAAATCGAGTAAATCTTCTCTCTTGAGCTGTTATTTCCTTCTGAACGAGAGAGAATCGTGCGGAATTATATTGTTCGATATCGTGACAACACCTGCTCGTGTCACGATAAGCATGCGTGCGCGGTCTTTCAAATATTTAGTGCAGGCAGTGCGAGTAGATAAATTCTTCTTTAATCTCTTTGTTGTCTGACCGCCCTCGTTTGCTTTGTTTCCTTAATACTTTTGCAGAAGTGTGTTCATATATTGTTTTTTTTTTTCGCTTTATTGAATTGTGTGCAAGATGAGAATTTTTATCACGCGTTCCCCCCCTCCCCACACCTCAGTAATACCCGCGCAGGGAGAATATCGACTGACGAGCCGGACTCTCCTCCAGGAGGGGAATGCCTGTTAACACAACAGTAAAATCTATATTGCAGTGTGAATTAAAAGTGATTGTAATGCGTCTATCAATAAATAGCTCGCGAGTGTCTCTCTTCGGTCTTAATGAACTTTGGACTTGGTAGAACAGCTCAAAATAAATAACAACTTCTTACATTCGTTCTAACGTAGGTTTCATTGAATAATCAATTTAGTCGAATCTGTCTAATAAGATTTGTTTCATTGCGTCTATTTCAAAGTCACTTAAATACCCTCAGCCGAATAAGACAAATTATTTCAATTAAATACAGTATTCTCAATCGATCTTTCGTTGATCTAATTTATAATCTGGAAATTGCAAAATGAGGAAATAATATTACACTGTACTCTCTTTAGCAAACCAAGTACATCTTTCGCGCGGTAGTGTTTAATTTCTAGACAAAATTAAATTTTAATAATCAAGCTTTTTAGCCGACACTATCCTGCCAGTGTTTTAATGCAGAAAATTTATTGCGAAAAATATTACCTCAGTCAGGACTTGAACCTGGACTTCTCTACTCTCTAAGCGGGCGTCCTGGCTGAGGTAATATTTGTCGCAATAAATTTTCTGTATTAAAACACTGACTGGTTAATGTGTGGACTTGATTATTGTTATTTATTACTGGCAACTTAAAGAGATTTCTATGTTTAAAATTAAATTTCATTCCTAAATGACATACATACGCATATGTACATGCAAGTACTTTTTGAAGATGGTTTCTATAATACATTTACATCAATTTAATCACAATTCATAAAAGTACACGACTTTGAATTATGTTTTTAATATTATAAAATGTATACTTTAAATTTTTTCTCGCATATATCTTTTACGATTATGACGGCAACGGTATTTCGTTAAAAATCGAATACGTTTTAAATACGTGAATACGTTTGCTGTTACAGTCCTTCTAACTTGTATCAGAATAAGAATATGTCTCTTATCTTGATGCACTCTACATATATCCAAAGCTCGTATTATTGCTCCCTAACAGGATGATAGAAAGAAAAGTGTTTTAGAGAATAATGCAACGTTGGAAAAAAAATTCAGTTCACATTTATATTACTTTAGGTCTACTTTTATTAAAATTACAGTATCTTTATATTACGTCATGCCATTTAAATTATGATGTAGATTATAAAGTAAGGTTTATAGCTATGTACAATGATAAGAAGAAATTAATTATAAAAGTTGTTATTGCTGTAGCAATCACGCAAAACGACTAAAAATTCCAATTGAGGATGAGAGAAAAGAAGAGAGAATGGTATGATTGCGGATAATTGTATTGTCAAAGTCGGATGGTCCTGAAAATTACATAAAATGAATTCATAAAAGGTAATTGTAAACCACAAGACGGGGGGAGTCGAATTAAACACCGTGTGTAATATGAAAGGACTTGCTTGGGGCGCTATGTAACTAACTAACGCCATGCCTGAGGACACAACTATTTTCTGCCGAAAACATGTCTTACGTGACGGATCTCAGAGCGCCATAACGGAGTCTCCTCCGCCAGCATCCCCTAAGTTGCCCGACGCGCTCCTCTCTATCGAGACCAGCGTGCCGGGCGTGCCCTTGAACCTCATTTTAGCGTCGTCCCCGACGACGACTCTCCTCTGACAGAAGATCAGAGTCAGACAGCTGACGACAAACAGAATGCTCGGCAGCACTAGCGCGATCAAGAACTCTTTATAGGTCGTATGCAGATCGAACCGCGACACGACAACGCCCGTGTTAGCCTCGGCGTAGTAACACGGGAATCTAGCACGCGCGTTGTGATCGGACCCGTCCTTCCCGTACTCGTGAAGGAACTCTTTGCACTCGTCCCGAAGGGTGTTGACGCATCCCTCGAGGTTGATCAACAATTTGCTCTCGTTGGCGATGATCAGGCTCTGCTCCGGCGGCGCGACTATATTGTCTTTGTCCAACGGTTTCGTGGCGAATATATTCAGGTAGGACAGGTACGTGAAATTCGTCAGATCGGTCAGCTGGTCTTTCTCCAGCACGGAACCGTTGATGCAATCCACCGCCTCCACGCCCAACGTGGAATTGAAGATCCCGTAGCAGGAGGCCATCATGACGTCGCCGCGATCCTCGTGCCAGATCTCGCGATTGCTCTCTACGTCTATAGCCCGTTCGCACTGGCTGAGGTACACCTTGTCGCCACTGAGGAGGATCATGTTCTTGTTCCTGGTCGGGATGTCGACGCACCTGCGATCGCAGTTGTAGGGGGTGCGTATGCGCTCGCAGGTGCCGCGGTTGCAGTTGAACAGCCCGTCTATGTCTATGCAGGTGATCTTGCCGCGACGGCCGGAGCACTTGAGGGGCGGATCCGTGTCGTGGAACATGCACTCGAAGGCGTCGGTGATGTTGATGCAGGTGCCCGCGGAGCAGTTGAACGTCCCGGTCAGATTGCGGCACTCGTCCGCGATGCACTTTGCCTTCTTCGCGTTCTCCTGATCGATACCGTAGCACGTCTTGTTCGTCGTGTTCGTACAGTTCGCTAGGAGGATCGTGGACCCGTTTCGGCGTAGGTTCACGTGGATCTGCACGCAGGGCCCGGAGGTCTTGGACAGGCACCACTCGCCGCAGCTGCCCCACTCGCAATTGTCCACGTTCGACGCTCGAATCGTCGTGCACATCACGGGCACCTCGGTGATGCCCGAGGCGAACGCCCGCGTGCTGGGCATGTAGATCGCGACCGTCAGGTACACCAGCGCGACCGAGGACAGTACCATCGTCATCTGGCAGATGCAGATCGTGCCGCAGATGCGGCCATCCTGCGGCGGTATCACCAGGTTCTCCACCGGAACTTGCTTCGGCATCCTGCTCCGACTGGATTGATCGCGCGCCAATCGATTGTCTACGTGCGCCTGTTCATCTTACGTGGGCAAAGGCGCAACTGGCGTTCACTGGATAAACGTTCACCCCTGATTATATTCGCTCCAATTCGGAGAGGACTCGACTCGACGATTTAACAGCTGTTCAGAGTTTGTAAATCAGTCGTAGCAGGTTGTTGGTGTTTCTCTTCGACAATCTTATCAACATTTGTAGAGAAGACTGATCACTCTTCAACTCTCTAAGACCTTGATTAGATACGCCGAGTCAAAATCCTCAAATCGTGCATACCATTGTCGTTATGGGCTGTTATGTAAGCCGCAACTGCAACTCTTATCGACAAGTCCCACAACACTGGATGGAAAATGGCAACTACTTTAAACAGAGACAGTTTTATCAACCGGAGCGGACCTTCGAGCGTTTCGACCACGAAAAATCGAGCGGTTCGCTACTCTTTGCCCTGCACTAGCTTTCTACATGCTGCCGAGTCAGCGCGTCGCGAGAACCACTCGTCGCAGCGTTCCGCATCACGTCACAAACACAGCGTCGTCTCAGCCTTCCACCCTCGGCTCTTACGCCTCGCGGGCTCGCGAATTCATCGAATCTCGCTTCATGCAGAGACGCGAGCGCGCGTTTGCATCATCGGTATTCCACGTCAGAGGTTTCCACGCGCGCGAGTCTCTCCTTTTTACCGCAGGACGAGTCCACCCGCGCGCATGTTCCGTTCCGGTCCTCGTGTAATATGCGCCGACGGGTACCCTCGTGCGAAGACGCGCATTGATCGCGGTGCCGCGCGGCTGCGCGTCGCCGGACTGCAACGGGTGCCGTCCGGCGTTACCGCAATTGACGTCACGGCCACGAAGGGTCGTGGACGAACGTCTAAGGGTGGATGATGCAGGGTGATCTCCAGAGATGGCGGCTTCCGACTGATCCGGACCAGCTGGTCGCGATCTTTCGAAATTTTTCGGGAGTCGTCGGGCGACGATACGAGTTGGCGAACACTGGAATATGAACCCTTACAGCGAGACACTCGACGTGCCTTCCTTCCTCTTCATTTTGAGAGACTTACAGTTTTACGGTTTATTTAAAAGTCCTTCAATTCAGTTACGTCTTCGGCAAACTTTTCCTCCGAATTGAAGACTGAGCCGGCAAAGAGTGGAGGATGTAAATTGTTTTTGGAAGGTAGACTTTGCTTTCTAAGAAAACTTTAAGGCACCGAGTACGCTGCGAGAAATCACATCATCGCCAGGCGCAAAGTAGGTCGAAACAAAGTACGAATAATTCCTAACTGCGTTCATTTTATGTGGATCATATGTACCTACATGCATGCCACCTTTACGGGTGATGGCCTATGCAAAGAATTCCTAGGAGATCTAGGTGTAACGAAACTAGGTCGACCATCCGTTAAACCTGCTCCATTAAGATAATCGACAATACCTAGCGCGGCGTAACTTTATCTTTCGTATTTCTCCAATTGTAATCTAAAAAACAAGCCGGACCTACGCGATCGTTATTTACATCGGTGCTTCGCGTCCTGCAGAGATCAAATGCTGAAAACAATTTCCGGCGACCGTTCTAAACGGAAACTGCTGTATCAGTCGTAAAATTTTACGTGTTTTCTTTAATATCGCAGTACACACTTTTCCCTCCAAGAGCCACATAAAATATTTTATCCCCCGCAAATATAGATGTACAATGTGTAAC